TGGCTGAAGTCGGACGCTTAACCGACTGCGCCACCCAGGCGCGCCGCTTCATTTTTTTTTTTACGTTTATTTTTGAGACAGAGAGAGACAGAGCATGAACGGGGGAGGGTCAGAGAGAGAGGGAGACACAGAATCTGAAACAGGCTCCGGGCTCTGAGCTGTCAGCACAGAGCCCGATGCGGGGCTCGAACTCACAGACCGTGAGATCATGACCTGAGCCGAAGTCGGCCGCTTAACCGACTGAGCCACCCAGGCGCCCCACCTAGCTTCATTTTTGATGTTCTAACACTTCTTACTGATTCTGAGTTGCTTGGTTATTTACTTTCAGGGTAATTAGTGGCAGTAGAATTGGGTGGGGGAATGAGACAGTTTACAGGACTTGTTTTTGGATTGGGCTATTAGGGTGAGGGTGTGGTGGTGAGGGACAGTGGAGTCACGGATGATTCCTAGGTGTCTGGACGTCTGCCTTTGTGACTGGGTGGATATTAGTACAGAAGACCAAGTTGGGGGTGGTGGTGGTTAGGAATCAGGGTCAGGCTGCACCTGGAAAACTCTAGGGCACTGTAGCTGTCTATACTCCCTAAACTCCCAGGAAGGCTTGTATTTCATAATAGACACAATCCCTCTCAATGCCAGCATGGGATTCTTCTGGAGGTAGCAGATGGCTCACTTCATATACCAACATGGCATGGTAACCCTGGTCCTTTGTTTGTATTCTGGGTATTGCCCAAAGTATTTCGCATCATTAATTGGCTATCCATCATCCAGAGACCAAAGTCAGACAAAGCTCATCACCTGGAACCTTTCTTGCCCACACCATTCTGGAAGTACAGGGTTCACCCACAACTTCCTGTAGTTCTCTAAAAATATGCCCATCATAGAAATGATAAGTTTCCATCTCGAGGCACCACTGAAATCTCCTGGAACCCCAGCCAAGTTGAGCCTGATGAATCACCTTGGCTCAACTGAACACAGTTCTTTAGAATTGATACTCTATTCAAGGCTGTCAGGAGGATGCGGGAATAGACTTTATCTTTTGTACTTCATGGATTTGGGGCTTTTTCTATATTACAAGTTGACTTCGTCCCTTCCGCTCACATAATAATTGATTTAGCTTCCCTTTACCAAACTATAACCATTTTCTGGTCCTGCCTTGTTCATGTTACACCTAGCGTCCCTTGGCTGATATTTTGGGTGTTCCTAAACTCTTCAGCCACACGTTTCAAATTTCATGGTTTACTCTCACAGATGGTTGGTCACATCCATTGTGGGTAGACTTGTAGTCTCTTAGAGAAGAATATTTCTCTTCTGGGTGAGCTTGTTGTAATACTTGATATAATGAGAATGTACTGGTTCTGGACTGGAGGTATGCTTGTGGGGCAAGCCTTTCACCCTTTCCTTTTGCCCACATGAGGAAGCCCAGAGCTCATTCTACTTAGATGATGTCCACCCAGCCCTGTAGCCTTCACACTAGCTGACACACTTTCTGCCAGCTGTCCCCAAATGGGATCTGCCTGTGGAACTTACATACAATAATTGTCCTTCCTTTGCTCTTCTACACCTGCTTCTACTTTTTAATGTTTATTTATTTGAGAGAGAGAGAGAGAGAGAGAGAGAGAGAGAGAGAGAGCGCTAGCAAGGGAGGGGCAGAGAGAGAGGGAGAGGCAGAATCCGAAGCAGGCTCCAGGCCCTGAGCTGTCAGCACAGAGCGCAATGGCAGGGCTCGAACCCATGAACCCACGAGATCATGACCTGAGCCAAAGTTGGATGCTTAACCAACCGAGTCACCCAGGGGCCCCTTCTATTCCTGCTTCTAATATTTTTGGTTTCCTTGGCTTCATCTCCCATTTCTGGCTCTGAAACCCCAGTTTTTATGTTATCAAAACTTTGTTCTTTCCCCTTTCTGGGTATTCCCATCCCTGGCTCCATTGGGGCTCCTCCCACCCATTGAATCCTTTGCCATCCTCTGCTTCCTGACCCTGCTGGGCTTCTTCCATCATCTACAGTTTGAATAGACAAGGTTTGCCTACATCACAGTCTTGCTGAGGATTCAGACCTGTGTGCGCATTAAAAATCAAAGGCTCGTGGGTTCATTTATTCTTTAAACAAACAGTGATTAAGGCTTTTCTTTGCGGCAAGCACTGGAGACCCAAGATTAAATAAATATTTCCCACCTTCAAGAACTTCAGGTATTAGAAGAATCCCGAAATTTACAAATACTTTAAAAAACATTAAGGCATTCAGGAACAATTTAATGTATTTCTTTTCCTTGTCTTAATGTGGAGCACATGGTGGTGGACTCCTTCACTACACAGATTCAAGCTACCGTCGACTTTGACGCCCTATTCCTGAATTTTGATTTTTTATGGTCACCACTAGGCACTTGATCTTCACAGCATTTGACACTGGTGACCACCTCCTTGCTGGAATTCTTTCCTCTCCCACTGTCTTCTCAGCAGTCCTTCAACCAAACATTCTAATTTTGTTTTGGTTTTTTAGTATTTTATTTTTAAGTAATTTCTACACCCCTAGTGGGGCTCAAACTTACAACCCCTAGATCAAGAGTCACATGCTCTACCGACTGAACCAGCCAGGTACCCCTTTCAAGGAACATTCTGAACGCTCTTTGGAGGTTCCTGTTCCTTTGTTCACAACATGAAAACATTTGTTTTCTGGGCTCCATTCTTTCCTCTCTACGCACTTCCCTGGGCAGGCCACACTGATCTTTCGGTCGGTATCTCAAAGGAGCCTACTCTCGTACCTGAAACACTCCTCCTTACCCTTTTACTTGCTTGAAGTAACCTTTTCCCTACCCGTGTCTGGGTAGGCTCCCACAGCTTCCCATACTTAGCCCACCCAGGTAAGCCGTATCTGTCTGCCCGCGCTCCCACCAGTCTGCACATTCTGGCGGCAGGGACCCCGCCTGGATTGCCCATCCCTGCATCTCCAGTGTCAGCCCTGCCCCGAGCCTTGAGCAGGTGTCCAACAACCAAGTATCTAGTAAACGAAAGAATGAGTAAAGCCCTGTGCCAGGAAAGGACGGGCGTGGCTACATCCGGGGGGCCTAGAAGCAGGGCGCGAACCCGGGCTGGGAGGGCTCCCGCGCAGGGGCGGGAGGGCTCCCGCAGCTGCCTGGCTCTCGAGCAGGGGGCCGCGGCGGCCGGGGTCGCCCAGCTAGAGCCACCGGCTACAGTTCATCGCCCCCGCGAGGCGAGGCCACAGAAGTCGCGTTGGCCCTTCGCCAACTCCTGCCATCTCCACCGCAGAGGAACGACGGCCGACCACCGTCTCCGCCGCGCTCCCGAGGCGCGCGGCGTTCTTGGCCCCGTCCGGCCACCGTTGCTTTCTATACAGCGGCGCCCCTGACCCGGAAGAGTATTCTCCTTAGCAACTGCGGGACCGCGGCGGCGCCAGCCTCCCGGGAGCGACGGTGAGGCCTCCCCGCCCCCGCTCCGCGCGCCCCGCCTCGACCCTTTCCCTGGACCGGCCCCGGGTCTGACCTGCCACGTCTCCGCAGCGCTTAGCGGGGTACCTGCGGCGCCGGTCCTGGGCGAGCGCCCTCCGCCTCGGGCATCGCTCCCCGGCTCCGGCGTCGCCCCTGCCCACCTCACGCCCCCCTCTCCCCCGCTCCGGGCCGACAGGGCCTGTCAGGCCCGGCTCCTCGCGCGGGGTCCCGCCGTTCCTCTCTCGTAGCCCCGTTAGGGGCGCGGATAAGAAAACCAGAATTAAGCAGAGCCTGTTGCTGTGGAGAGGACGCTTCCCGAGGCTCGGGTCACCTGTGGACGCGTTCTTATGGGTCCAGATACAGGTGTTTGGGACTGGCAGGGATGGAACCCTTGAGGAGCCGGGAATGGCAGCCGCTTAATTAGAATGCTTGCTGTTTGCCTGCTGCTTTGCGCTTGCCAAAGCGATGTCTTTTATCTGCTTTGTTGATCGTGGAGACTCTTGTAATTGAATATTTTCAACTGACCGTTTCCCGGGGATTAGGTTTCCTGTTTTTACTGATGTGCGGTTAGTATTATGTAGCTTAGATTTTGTGTCTTCCAGTTTTCTACGGAAGGAACTCTCCCTGGGACTGATTACCTTTGGGAAAAATTTCAAGTGAATTTTGCTATGTTGAAAAAAGTAGGGGCAGGTGTTGTTAATATCTCTGATTTGCATTTGAAAAGACACAGTGATCCTGAAAACCTCCCTTTATTGAGTTTGTAGGTGTGGTACTAAGAAAACTCTAAACCTTATTTGAACATTGTTAGGTAACAATTTTATATTTAATGATGATAGAGTTAGGGGCGCCTAGGTGGCTCAGTCAGTTGAGTGACTTTAGCTCAGGTCACGATCTCGGGATGGTTGGCTTCCAGGCCGGCATCGGGCTCTGTGCTGACAGCTCAGAGTCTGGAGCCTGTTTCAGATTCTGTGTCTCCCTCTCTCTCTGCCCCTCCCCTCTCTCTTTCTCAAAAATAAACAAACATTAATGATGAAAGAGTTAAAGCAGGCATGCGAACAATTTTCGGGAATGACATTTGGGAATAAAAGTGCAGGAATTTCGATAGCAAAATCCATTAATCAGCACGGCATAGTGTTTAACCAGCACGCCCAGTGTTCTAGGTACGTGAAGGATACAAAATAAGAGACCGTACACATTAAGTTATTGGAAAAACTACAAAATAGCATTTGTTTAAATACAGAATCAGAGGAGAGAGCAGTATGGGCTGGAGTTTTCTGTAACATGTTTATGGATTATATCTCTAAAGTATAGGTACAATTTGTGTTTGTATTGGAGGGGACAGGGAATCCTAAACAGTTTCGTATGTTAAGTGTGCGCGTGACATTTTGTAGTCCTTATTTAAAGCTCTATGGTCACTTGATTCTATTTCACTCAGTAAAAATCAGTCTGGCGTTTTTTTCTGTTTGAGATCTAAATGAATATGGTTAATATCAGGAGGCTTTGCCACTGAAGAGATTCATTCCTTTGCTTTTGTGATGGTCTTACTTTTATGTGAGACACCACAGTTTTCAGTAAAGTTAGTTACTAGTTCCTATATACTTAAGAGTTTTGTGAAATGTTGCTTTTAATATTTGACAGCTATTTCCACAGTGCTTCCTATGTAGGAGGCATTGTATCAAGAAATACCAAAAACAGGTTACTCAACAAGGAGTAGTTTTGCTTTACCTGCACTGTATGTGTGTGTGTGTATGTTTTACCCATCAGCCTTTGATGCTCAGCATTTGTGTAGGGACATAGAAGGACCGGAGAAATTGATACAGGCATCTGAATTGACTTTTTTTTCCCCCGTAGGAGTTGAATAGGGATTTTTGGCTCAGTTGCTTTGGATGTCCTTCAAAGATTCATTAAGGAGAACTCTTACAGTGTTTTATTGCTTTCTTATAGTTTTAGTGGCCATTTATTCACTTTTTTAAAAGTATTTGAGTGCCTATTTGGTGCATTGTGCTTTTGTTGGAAATGGGGGAGAGTGAACACATCCGTGGCTCCTGTCTTCAGCAGATGATACCAAATAATCACATGGATGTGAAACTGCAGATTTTTTTCTTTTCTTTTTTTGATTTAGGGAAGTCACGGGAACGACATTTGAACTAAGATCTGAAGGATGCACAGGAAAGGAAGAGTGTTCCAGTCAGACCCAACAGCACAGGCAAAGGACAGGACAGGACAGCACAGGCGTTCATGGGGAGGACTGGGGATTTAGGGTGCAGCTCTATGTAGAGAACAGGAAGAGTGTTGGAAGAATCTGGTGGGAGGGAGCTGGAGAGGTGGGCCACAGGGCCTTGTAAGCAGTTTGAGGAGTTTTTCTTATCTTTCGAGTGAAGAGAAGCCTTTATACTGTTTTACTTAGAGACTTCCGCTGGATTGCAGGTGGGGATGACACTGTTACGTTGTGTTTATATAGCCTGCTTTGTATTTCTACCTTTGCTTCCTATTTGTATCGTCTTCTTCCTCATTTCCCCAACGTGCTCCCTCAGTGTTACTGTAGTTGGAGAAGCTTCCATGTCCTACCAGCGAGATGTGTCCACTTTTTTTTTTTTCTTAATTGAGAGAAAAGGAATTTTAGGGATTAGTATTGGACACTAGAAGTTAGTTGATTTGAAATATTTTTGCATCAGTATGACTGCTAGGGCACTAACTTCTGAGACCGGTTTCTTTTTATGGGCAATAAAAACACATAATATAAAACTTACCCTCTTAACTATTTTTAAGTATACAGTTCAGTGATGTTAACTGTATTTACACTGTTTTGTAACAGATCACTGGGACTTTTTTATCTTGGAAAACTAAAACTGTACCCAATGAACATCTTCCTGTTTCTTCCTCCAGCACCTGCCCCCCCCCCCCCCCGCCCAGCTCCTAGTAGATTTGAGTTTTATTGCTCTAAATGCTTTTTGAAAGAATCATATTTGTACCACATTTTGTAGTGCTTATCTCAGAATGCCTTCAGGTCAGTTGATTTTGGGTATTGGACTGGAAACAATTTTGAGATGGTTCCATATTTTAAGTACAAAAAAACATAACAAAGCATTTTCTTAGACGGGGAAGATTTGCAAACTTTTATTTGCAGTTTTCCCATTTTATCTCAGACTTTGTATTTCTGTAGTGTTGTATAAGTAGCCTTATAGAATCCAGTTTGTTTTTATTTTTTATTTATTTTTAATTTTTTTAATATTTATTATTGAAAGACAGATATAGAGCATGAGCATGGGAGGGGCAGAGAGAGGGGGAGACACAGAATCTGAAGCAGACCCCAGGCTCTGAGCTGTCAGCACAGTGCTGATGTGGGGCTCAAACTCACAAGCAAGATCATGACCCTAGCCGAAGTTGGACGCTTAACTGACTGAGCCACCCAGGTGCCCCTAGAAGCCAGCTTTTAGAATGACCATTGAACCTTTTGAAAGTTGTTTTTTTGTTGTTTTTTTTGTTGTTTTTTTTTTGGTTTTTTTTTGGTTTTTTTTTTGCTTTAAATGGGGAGTTGCTGTGGAAAGTAAAGTTCATTTTCATTCAAATATTACTGAGCACATGCACAAATCAGACTGTGGGCCTGAAATGGTTCTGTAGATCCCTCTGAGGTCCAACTGTCCATGCCATTACTGTGACATCAGGGAGACAGCCAGATTCTTGTTGTCTTTATTAGATGGAAGGTAGTGGTGGAGCTGTGTCACAGACTCTGGGTCTAAAGTTCTCTCTGGTCCAGCAAGAGAGTGGACGCAGGATTAAAATGGGAGAGATGGTTAATGTCTGGGAGAAGACAAGAGCCCCAAATAAGGGTCCTTGCTCCATATTTGTTAAGATCAGAAGGCTTACAAATGTGATGGGCGTGCACAAAGAGATAATGAATCTGTGAACATTAACTCATGGGCATGAGGGAAAAGGGGTTTTGAAGATATATGGTGTTAGGGGTTTGGGTCTATATAAACCAAAATCCTGGTGCCGGGCAGATGGATGTTAAGGGTAGACCTGAGGTGCTGTGTCTGTTTATCTTAGCCAGCCTAGGGGATAAGACAGAGGATGCAACCTCAGGGTCAAAAGCCACCTTTCTTTTGCTAATCAGCTCTGCTCTGGGTAGTTCACCCTTCAGTGGTCTATCACCCTATTTACCTGTTTACCTAATTTGGTTCTTCCTTCCTGTGAAAGCAGCTTTCTGCTACAGTACTAAATTGGGGGGCCTTTTCGCCCTGAATACCTAATCTCATATACCTTTGCCCCCCCCCCCCCCCCATCTTGGGGCCTCTGCCCTGTCTATACTTATTTACCCAATCTTGTTTACCCACACTTGGGTGTGAGCATCCTATGGCTTTGTAATTCTTTTTGCCTTGTTGACCCATCAGTGCAGGCTCAGGGAATTATTCCTAAGCTTATTCCCTACAGAGCTGCTCCTTTGTGTCACATCAAGGGAGAAAGAAGGATTTGACGAGAACTTTTCAGATAGCATTTTTTGGAACCATAGCAAGAACTTGATGTCCCAGAGTTGCAATTATGAGATTTACTCTCATGTTGAGACTGGAAGTGGTTGGGTTTAGTCAGCTATTAGTCCAAAGAAACTTAGTTTTCTATTTTTTTTCCTATGGTGGTAAAATTTACCATCTTAACCATTTTTAAGTGTTCTGTTCAGTGGTATTAAATACATTCATAATGTGGAAACATCACCACCATCCATCTCCATAACTATTTTTTGTCTCATAAAACTGAAACTCTATGCTCATTAAACAACAACTTATTCTTTCCTCTCCCCAGCCTCTGGCAACTACTGTTCTACCTCTGTCTCTATGATTTTGGGCACTCTGAGTACCTCAGAAGTAGAATCATACAGTATTTTTTTGTGACTGGCTTATTTCATTTGGCATAATATTTATTTGTTTGTTTGTTTGTTTAAATGTTTATTTATTTTTGAGAGAGAGACAGAGCATGAGTGGGGTAGGGGC